TCCCCCCGTGCTGGTGGGACCTTGTTTCATGACCCACATAAAGCAAGGCCGTTAACACTACTCACGACTCGCGCACACGTACGAGGCCCCTGCGAGGTGCGCTCCGCGCTCTATGGAAGGCTCACGTGTGTATCTCCCTACCCAAGATAGCGCGCGGCACCCATCAGACCCCCCGTGCGAGATGGCCCCGAATTCGTACCACCTGGTAGGATCGCGGTTGTACTCGCGAGAGAGATAAGGGACTCGAGAATATGCCTCTCGTTCAGCTGGTGTGTCACTTTTAAACCGACGCGATTTAAATCGAGAGCTATCTGACCCGGCTGTTCTTCATATTGACCCATTAAAGGTCGCAGTAAGCTATAGGGAATTTTAATTCGCGATTGAATTTTTCTATTTTCTGCGAGATAATAAATTAATAAAATTATTAAACAGCTTTCGTCTCGTTTTCCTACATCTAAAAGAGCGTGCTTGATTTTTGAGACGTTGAGACACATGAAGAAATTATAGGAAAAAATGTATATAACGTCCTTTTATTTTTTTTTTTTCGAATTCTTTAAAGATAAATATTTTTAAGACGATAATTTCTTCGAGAAAAATTCGAAGAATCATACGTTTAAAAATACGAATATTAAAGAATTTAAAGAAATATTATTTCCTAACAAAAAATAACTTTCTATTTTTTTATAAAAAGAACATTGGTCGTTAATGAATTAATACCGTAGCAAAATGATATTATCAAATTAATTATTCATTCGAACCGTGAAACTTCTTGAATTTCTCCTTGCTCGTCGAGATTTGATTCGTGTCGTGGTTCTTCACGTGACTTCATCAGGGGAGGTATCGGGGAGCTCGCGAATAATTTTTGCGGAGGCAGATATTTACGGTCCAGCCGAGATGAAATGGTGATCCCATCGATGTGCAAAGGCGCTTCAAGATGAAAAAGCCACGGGGATCTTCTCTGCAACGGGGATCCCCCTCGCACCTGCTTTCCTCATCTTACGCTCACCACACGTGTACGCGATGCGTGTACACACATATGTATGTATGTATGTATGTATGTATGTATGTATGTATGTATACATCGTGCCGTGTCTCCGCGCTTAGTAGGTCACACCGATGCGTGCATGCGTGCGTACGTACGCACGTGTGGCGTCAGCGAGAGGATATCGTGGCAGCGCGTACCAGCGCGAGGCGTTATCGTATCCACGGTAGAACCTGGCTGTGGGTCCGTCGATCATCACCTTGATCTTGATCTTGACTCCGCGCAAGGCCTGCCTTGCGGGCAAACGTCGAGATAATGCGGCCCGATTACATCCCTCGTTTTTCGAATTTTGTCGAACGAATTTTTACTAATACGCCAAATATACGGCGGCTACGATCGCGGAGCCGCGCCGGAGAATAAAAGTATTTCGTTATTTAATATAATTTTTATTCGTGTGCGTTTAATTCAAAGGCACGTTTTCTAAGCTGTAATTGAAAAAATTGAAAATTGTAAATGTACAAAAGAAAGTTTAAAAGATTTGAAAAATTGTCTAAAATAGTAAAATCTTTTAAATTTTCCTTTAAAATTATAAAATTTCCTTAAGAAAATTTTGTAATTCTTAGAGAAATTTAAAATATTTACTATGATCTTTTAAAGAAATTTAAAAGATTTTACGATTCTGGGTAAACGATATTCATTAAATTGATAAATAATATTGTTACGACGAGCTGTAGAACTAGTTAGAAATATTATTTTACCGTCCGAAAAAAAGAGGACATTGATTTAATTTACATTATTTTTGATAATGATATATAGTGATATTAATAATAATTCTTACAATCGCGCGCAAGTCGGCTTACAATAATTAATATAATGACAAGCGTAATTACCTATTCTTTTTTCGTTTCTTTAATTACGCAAGTTACTTTCTTCAATTTCATTATTGTGTAAGAAATGTGTATTAAATCTTAGTGTCCTACATGCCATTGTATAAAATCCTATAAAATCCCATTAAATCCTAAATTATAGAGAAAAATGTAAATAATTGAGTAATAATTAATAAACAAATTATATATATATATATGTGTGTGTGTGTCATTACGTGTGTCTCATCTCATTGATTTATCTATTTTACAAACACATCTTGAAAGCGTTAATGACCTCATTTAGCCTTTGCCTTTCTTCATCATTTTTTAATAATTTACCCGCGTGTATATTGTAAATATAACTGACGCCATCTCTCGCGATCGAATCATACCAGAAAATTTATGTATATGAAGAAGAGCCAAGTAACACATAAAAGAAAGTTGTGTATCATCATTATTTTTCTGTGCGTACACGGACATTACTTATTTCTTCTCAATCATGGATTCTGTGGCGAATCTAAATCTACTTTCTTTTTAGCGAAAACCTAAAATAAGGCTGCATCTTACCATTGTTTCTCATTCTCATATCTAGACCAATTATCTTATATTGGAAAATATTCTGAAACTATATTTCAACTGTATATTCTTTAATATACAAAGAGATCTTTATATCTCTCTACTTATCCGTAAATTTCTAAAATTATCAGATTTTGATAAAAATGTAAAAAATAAAAAAAGTTCCATATACATACATATCTAAATTGTATAATCAGAAACGTGTGTTTCGATGAGTCTGATCATTTTTCACGAGCATATATATGCCCATATTACATTTTCGTGCAGAAAAAGAAATTACAGACATGATACATTCGAATTTATTTTACTACGAAAAGTAACACGAGTAATGTATGTTATTGAAAAATAAATCAGGATTTTTGATGATAAGTTTCCGATCGTGCGACCTGGATTCCCACCTCTAAGACGACCTTAAAAATTGTGATTTGCGTTTTTTTTTTCTGTCGTCGGCGCACGCTATCCATAATTATCGGCCGACTCGTTCTGGTCACGAACTGTCTTAGATGCAATTTTGTACACTTGTAAGTCTTTTGTAACACGAAAGATTGGCTCAAAAGCTCACGAGGTCAGGAGCGAAGAGGAGCGGGTTCAGAAAACTCTGGCCTTTCGAGTTTTCCTTTATTTTATTGGTATCATCTCTCTTTCGTACACAACGATCGTCACAATAGAAACTTCGGCCGTAATCTGGCACAAAATGCATCTCGGGCTTCGCATCGACCGCGAAGTCCTTGACGGACATGCTCGATTCGGAATACTTGTCTAGACGCTTCATCGAGCGACACGAACTATATTTTACGCGAGTAAGCGTGTTGTTACCAATAATGTATACCATTACTAAAGATCGGCTTGGAATGTTCGATTTTTGTCATAATAACGTATAGACCAACGTTAAAATGCACATATTATTGTCGCGCGAAATATATCTACTTAAACCGTTTCTGTGATTGATCGATAAAAAAAAAGAAAGGCAATGTTAGTCCCTGATTTAACAAATTACCCCGAATTCTTATAACAGAGCATGCATGAATAGTGGACTCAATGCATTGCGTTTTATATTTGAATAAACTTAATGTCGCATTAAAGCGATGGACATGACTAATTATCGAACGAGCAGATCAATTCTTGAACGTTCCGAATAGCGATGTCATATGGTACATTCGCATCTTAGAACAAGCTTTCGGTCATTCTTAGGACGCTTTTTGTTAGAATATTTGTGGATAACAGAACGCAACAAGAACTAAAATCATACTCTATACCTATTCATTTACGTTTTGTTGTCGTAATATTAATAATACATTAATATTAATAATATTACGACATATCATTGATTCCCACTTCGCGAAAAGTCATATTTACAAACACGGTCATCAGGTCTTTCTTAATTATACCACCTTATAACATTTTCTATTTCACAATATCGAAATTTAACTTCATCAATTTATTAAACGATATTAACATTATAATTAACAAAACATGATGTACCATTGCACACCTTAAATAGTTTAATGTACGATCCCTTTGCGAGTAATTTTCAAAGACAGATTTCCATGTTGAAATATTGAAAGTCTAACATCAATAACGCGAAAAATTACATTAAATTATCAAGCTTATTACACTTGGACAAAATTACTATTTATAAGTTTTTTCTAAGAGTTGATTTCATGCCAATTCTATTAATTGCATGCACTTTATTAATAAACCCATTTTATTAAACAGGATCCATTTTGACTATAACTGCAACATGCAATATGTATACCAGAGATAGGATAGCTAATTACATCGGTATTATACATAGTATGGATATATTTTGTTGACTTATAGTTGTAATGCCAGTACTGCCGGAACTAGATAATTTTGCACGATAAAAGAATAAGAAAATAAATTAAATAAAATAATATCTTTCTAAGTTCGTTATAAGAATAAAATAATATTCTTATCATCTGAAAAAATTATTAATAAAAATTATTATTAATGATTTCTCCTATCATAATCTGACTTTTTTCATTATGTCAAATTGGATAAAGCTGAATGTCTCTTTGATCGGTATTTGATGTATCATCAGTTTTGATTTTAATATGTTTTTCTACGAAGTTACGATGTTCAAACATAAGAAATTAACCAACTAGAGAGAGAGAGAGAGAGAGAGACCACATTCTTTTAAAATATTGCTTAAGTCTAATTCCGACACTGAGTGTTTTCTTAATTGAATGATGGTATTTCAACTTGCAATAAAGATTAAAATTTTTTCAAATCTTAAATCATTTGAATAATATCTTGATAATATCTTAATTGTTCGATATTATTCAAATAGATTTTTGGACGTAACTTTGACAAAATTAATTGCATTTGTCATCGAATTAAATTATTTTCACATATGAACAACAATGAGTAATAAGAAAAATGACTCCATGATAAATTTTTGGAATAAAATCTTATTTCTACCCAAAAAATAAAATAATTAGTATAATTTAATAAATCTATTAATCAGGCACATTTCAGCTTGCATATTAATTTTGTGTGATTTGGTATTTTTATGAGATATAGTTAGAAATATTTTTTATGGTATGTGAGAGCTCAACGACAGATTATTTATTAACTTCCTTTCAATTCGTAATATAGAATTGAAAAAAATATTTGGCTCGAAAGGGACATTTCAAACCATGACACCACGTTGTGCCAACAATTGTTTCCTTTGGTGAAGACTCGGTGAATCTACGATAATTTCATCGTTCTTTACGCTGTCAAATGACTTTGAGGTTTTAAAATTATTTAGGATGTTCATACAGTTATTGCTCGCCATCTCAAAAGATTTGGAATTCCTTAGTGACGCGCTGGCCAACTTTCTAATAGTTTCCGATTTAGGATAATTAAAGTCCGCTCTTTCCTTTTCCCTTTCCTTGTTCTTGATTCTTTGATTATCGTTGACCATCGATAAGGAATCTTTCTTTGCTACTTTTTTCTCCTCCTGCTTGTCTATTTTAGAATCCTCGTATTTCGTTCTCTGATTCTCGCTGCCATCGGTTCTACACGTTACCAATTCCGATTTATCCTCTTTTTTATTCATAAACGGTTCTAATCGCAGATGCTCATTTTCTTCTTCTTCCTTCTTGTCGTCTTGACCTAGTAAAGACTTTGGTGGCGCTTCCACGTAGCCGCTCTCATCGCTGTCGGTTTCTTCGTCAAGAGAATCTAAAGTAAGAAACGAAGTCTCCTCATTTTGCAGAAACTCGTGACCTATTCTGCCAGGATACTTCTCGTTCGCTCGCCTCTCCCTCTTCTGGGGATCTTCGCTAATTCTATTTAGCATCTCCCCTCTCGGTCGATAATCTACTACATCGTCGAGATCCTCGACGTCTTCAAAGTCGAACATATTTGAAGCGGTGTCTTCCATTTCCTCTTCCTCTTCCTCCATCGATTCTTCCTCCTCGCTTCTCAAAGGAAACCTCTTCATGGGATCTACAGAATTGAAACGGGGACTGCCAGCGCAAGTCATGAAGTGCGGCGAGCCCTCCGAATTTCTTCGCGGCCCCATGCTGCTGACTCGATCCTCCGAGAAGATAACCCTTTTAATGGATCCTCGCTGATCGTTTTGATCTGAAAAACATATTTTAAAGGTAAGCAACTTGTTAAGAAGTGACATTATAGCTTCATGTGTCGTATGTCACGCACCAACTGGCACAACTTGTAGTGCAACTGCCCTTTCGACATAATTATGCAAATATCGAAACCCCCTGTCATTTACGTTCCTCTAAAAACTTTACAAAACTAGGGATATATGTATATACCAAGAGAATAAATTACTAAAAAAATTAGATAAATATTCGAAAAGATTAAATAAATATAAAATAAAATGTGTGCTAAAATGATAAAACGTGTGCGCGAAAATGATATAACATGAGAAAAAATTAGGAATATGTCCATCAAATTTATCGACGACATTAAATAATTAGAATTTGTTTAACTTTATCGCAACGTTAAAATAGCATAGAAAAGGTAACGGGCTCTTAAAATAAATTGTATACGCAGCAATGTTTATCTATTTTAATTATATCATGAGACGAAATAACAAGTTTTATCTTGACGTCATTATGTAATGAGAGATAATTACTTCTGCGGGATCTCGCGATATAAAAAAATTTTAAAGACTGTTTATATTATTAAAAGAAAAAAAGATACATTTTTTCGCTTCTTTCTTTTTTCGATTATATCAAGTTATGAAGTCTGGCACAATTATGATAATTGATCAATTTTTAAAACAATACTCACTCTGCGCGAGATGCTCCTCCGGGCCGGTGGCTCTCTCTTCGCTGGTCGCCGTGCTGGCGGTTTCGCATCCGCTGGAGATGCTACCGTTTTCATCGGACTCGTGATTCAGAACATCCAGCAGTCTGGCTAATCTCCAGCTGTCTTGATATTCCCAGCTGCGTGCCACGTTCTCCAAGGAACGCAATTCCTCCAACAGCCTCTTCTGCTCCATCTCCTCAGCCACCGTGTCTTCCTCGATTGCCGATAGCTTGGGCGCGCTCTTCGACCTCTCCAAGGGTGGCCGATAGTTTTGGCCACCGGTACTCAGAAGAAGTTTCCTACGCGGCAACGACGGATTGTCGTACAACGCATTCGCCAGAGACAACCTGTAACAATTCACATAGATTATATTAATTATGTAATGAATTCAAAATCGATTCTACTCTCGATAACAAATAGCAAAATTTAATATACGTGAGAAAGAAAGAGATGATTTTTATTATCTTAATGTAACGTAACGTAATGTAACGATCTGTTTGCATTCCTTTTTCGCCGACTTTTACATCTGGTGAAGAAGTATAAAAGAAAAACATTTCAACTTATTAAATTTAATGCATATTTTTATTAACTCAGACTGTCAGACTGTCAGTTTATTTGTTTCTTAATTTCTTCAGCAAAAGGATAAATTCTCGCATGACAAATGCGATAAAGAAAGTAACGAACTGTATATAGTCATATTAACGCGATTCCGGCAGGAATGTGCTAGAACATGTTTGACCCGTGACTTGGAAACACTGACCCGAATGCACATCGCTGAGCGGCGATCGCTTCCCGTCCCGAATCGTGACTCGATCGCGCGCAACATAACGATCTACAAACGTGATCTGAATCGTAACTTCCACAGTGGATGCACGAGCGTGCGTAATTGCGCGTGCCTCCTAGGAACGAAGATGGAGAATTTCTCTTTTCTCCCGATTAAACAGAAGGAGACAGGTACTTGTATCGGCATCGACGATATAGCAAACGAGGGACGATAAAAATGCGAGGAATGCACGATAACGCGCCTCGCTGCCCGACATTGAAATAAGCCTAACGGAAACTGAAGAATTCCTACGTTTGAAAAATTGTGTCGTGCGATTAATCGTAGTCTGTTCAATTTTAATGAGCTGTCGAAGAACGAAACACAGATATGTATATAAAGATATGCAAACTTAGATGACTTCGAGTTAATTAATTAAAATTAATTAATTAATTAATTGGGATAAAAAGATTCTACGTTGGCAAGAAAAGATTCTACGTTTTTTTTTGTACAAGTAAACATGCAATGCAAATGTATTGTGTAACGTATGACCTATTAATTCTCCCTTAATGAAATTCTAATACCCGATAATAGCGAACAATGCCGCGCTAATCCTGCCGTAGCATCTGCTAATTCCCGCTAATTGCTTGTCAATCTTAGATAATGCCCGTTAATAAATTCCCACCAACAGTATCGCGATCCCGCAAATTCCGTGACTTCCGTTTGTATTCATTATCGCGAGAAAAAAACAATAAGATTTGCATTCCTAATTCACTTTAATTCACTCTAATTTTTTAAGTTAGACAAGTCGCTACAACGACAAATGTGCCATTAAAATAATGATTGCCATTTCCTCTCGGTTCACTTGGGTCTCTTAGGGCTCCTAGGCTCTACTTTTAACAGCGACGTGATACGTCGCTCTCACCTGGCGTTTTGCCTGGAGACCTTGTCCCGGCGGAATTCCATGAGCGCCTGCTGCAGCCTGGCATTCAGAATCGAGGCGAGTCTCTTCGCGGTGGACTCTTTGCTGCACAAGGCTGCGTGACACCTCAATTCGGGCCTCAATCTACGGCCCTCGTGTCGGTACACCCAAACAAAGAGCCGCGGGTGAGAAGCCGGGGCCGTGCAGTAAGTTACACGGTGAGCCCAGTACTCAGTGAGACCGTGGTCTTTGGTGGTCGCGGTCAGACCGCCGTTGGTCACCGTCAACCTCATCGAGACGTCCGGTCTGCTGCTGGTTACGTAGTTTCGCCACAGGGTAGATACGGGCTTCTCGACGCAGCCTTCACCTGCGAAACAAGCGTGAAGAGTCCGAAGTTTAAAATATTAATTTTAGAAATTGTCACGCTAAAGTACGTTTACGTTTACGTTGCCTCTCATAGATAGAAACTGTAATTTGTCAAACGACTTTTCACGCTGTGCTATTCGAGTCGGTGCCGTCAAAAGTAAAGACATGCCAGTCTCCACGTACTCGGGGTACTTTCTACGGGGTTCATTATAAACACTGACGCATATAATCGAGACGTTCAGAAATGCCGCTTCTCGCACGGCACGGATGAAAGGTATGCCGGCACGATGGAGCAAAGTATGTCACTTTAGGACAGATCTTGCGTGCGCGCGCATACCTACGTATACGCTATTACGACATCCTAACTGCGTTCGAGCGTGCGAGAGACGTCGGCGGCACCCAAGAGACAACTCCGTTCCATGTACTCCGCGAAAGGCATATCTTTCTGACTTTCGATACAGTTCGATTCGCCGCTATGCGCCACCTTGGATCGTGTTACCAATTTAGAGATACAGGAAACGCAAGTACAGTTACTTAGAGCTCGAAAGCGAGCCGCGCTGAGCCGAGCCAGCGGGCGTAATAGAGGAGGGACAAAGTGAGAGAGAGAGAGAGAGAGAGAGAGAGAGAGAGAGAGAGAGAGAGAGAGAAGAAGTGAGAGAGAGAGAGAGAGAGAGAGAGAAGGAGTGAAGAAAAGTGCAGGTTGAGCAAGAAAAAGAAAAACGAGGGAAGGAAGGAGAGGGGGGGAGGGAGGACGACTTGGGACAGGTAGTCTCTCGCGACCCGCTATTCACGAAAAAAGGTGATTCTTCGCTCAAATTTGAAAGTGATCCGTCGCAAAAAGCGGATAGCACGTGTATGTCTGTTTATCGATGCAAATGTAAGCGATACCGTGGCACGCACTTAACTAATCAATGATATATAGCAACAAATTAAATTCCGACACAAGCATATAAATATTGTTTTTAAGCAACATTTTTCTTCTGGGAGATTCCATGATCTTTCGTGATGATCTTTAAAGACGTCACGCGAGTTTTTTACAATTATAAATAAAGCTGCATTGATCCTACAGGCCATGTAAATAATTTATAATTAGTTGCAAACGTCACGGATTTTATCTTCGACTGCTGTATCAATTGAGATCGACTATTGTAGAATAATCGTCGACAAAGCGATTGGCTTTCTAGGTCGTCAAAAAAAGCTTTATGCATCTTAAGTGATGTTTTTAAATTAGTCATTATGCAAATAATAAATTATATGTATAATCCTTTAACGTCATCAACTAATTTTATATACAGAATAGCTTGATAATAATGACAATATTTCTAAAAAGACGTAAACAGAATACTAAATAAACTAGAATATTAAAATTAACTTCAACATCAGGAATTTGATCGTGCAGATCATATCTATTTTAAATTTTTAAAGGAATAGAGCCGTTGGAAGTTTTTTTTTCGCGCTTTTTACATCAAAAATTTTTCTTCTAGTGGAGAATTAATCGGGATCATTAATTTATTAAAAAAAAAAAAGAGGAAATTGATACAAATCTAAAAAATTAAATGTCAAAATGTTATCACATTTTTTTACCATTTTTTTCGATCTCGATTAAGAGGGCAAGTGATTATGATTATAAAAGAATGAAAAATGTAGGACGTCTCTTATAAGAGCTTACGATTATTATTACGACTATTATTAGGTAATGAATACCTAAGAAACAATAATAAAACATTATTTAAGACATATTACGAGCTCTTAATATCTCCATGATCATTACATGCATATGATCAAACAATTGCGAAATGTATGCAAGTGATAACTATAATTGCAAGAGAAAACACATCTAATAAATCAAAGGCGGCTAAGAAACGTCATTACGCTACAAACACTCTTAATATCTCTATAATCATAGTATATTTACAATCTGGCAAATATAAAATAATTCAAGCTATTATTACAGCGAGTACTCTATAGACGGGATGTTTAAATAGACGGGTGAGTTGTGTCAACGCATACACGCGAGACTGATATAGTGCAGATAAAGGAATGACGTGGAATTAAACACATGCGTGTTTATTGAATCCCACGTGCTTCAGGATAACCAGAGATGATAACTTCGTAATCGGAAGCAGATGACTAAGGAACACGTTGATTTTAATAATAATTAAGCGATTATTCAGTTTAAACGAGCCAGTTCGAGGCTCGACGGAGATTGAATGTCTATCTCAGAATCGGACATGATCTCTCAGAATCCAACAAGTACGTTTGTATTTGAAGGAGATCCATTTTCGTTTGTCGATTCTTCGCACGATTCCGCAAATCGTTCCTGATATTCACGCGAATCTTCGAAACGGTTTACGTTGAGAGAATAATCGCGAATCTCGTTTCCATGCGAGACATATAAATAAACGTATCGAGGCATTGAATTGGCTTCTTATATTTAAGTCTGGTCGCGCGCAATTCTATCTATCAAATCGAATATTTAAAGACATGGAAAAAATTCCATGTCTTTTATTTTCGAGAGAAAGCACGCTGGCACGCATACCTCCGACAGAACAGAGATTCGCGCCGTAATCGAACTGTGACCGGTAGACTCTGGGAAAAAGGCCATCGAAATCGCATGCAAATAAACCGCGGACAACAATGGTTCCGGCATCCACTGTCTGCGTAATTTGCGTATAGGAAGCCTTATATACACTCGCTGGAACAACATTTTATTCCAAGCGTGTCCGGAGAAAGCGCGCGGGGAGATTCGATAAAAACGATCCTTTACCGCAGGTGAAACGGCATCCATTGGCGTGCCCCGCCAGTTTCTTTTCCGTTACAACAATTTTTTAAACGAAAGACTCCACGAGAGTGGAGTACCGAGTCTCAACGGTAAAACGGGATGGGAAAATCTTGTTCCTTGCTTAATTATAAAAAATTTTAAATTCCGCATCACATTTAAAATTTGTATGACAAATGATTATAAAATATCAATATACAACAACAAAACTTATAATAATTTAAGTTTTTCGTTTTTCTTATGATAAAGCAAAATTTTTAGATATAAATGTCGCAATTAATTTAACGAGAGATAAAATTAAACAGTTACAAACGATCTTCATTTAAAAATTTTTAATGAAAAACCATGAGTCTGTTCACTGATTGTGTCTCATATTCCCGAAAGACAATATAGGACACAACAAGTAACAAGTTGAATTAAAGAGAAGCAGCGAAAATCGATTTCGAAGCATGGAAAATTCGCAGTCCGTGACGATCCATCGAGTTACGCGAATATTGCGATCGAATTATTGTGAACGGAAAAATAGACGGTCTGGAACGATGCGGAACGGGATGCAACATCAAGAGGATTGGGTACCATGATACGACTGGGTCGTGTGGGCCATCAGACTGTGACACTCCGCTCGCTCTCTCTCTCTCTCTCTCTCTCTCTTTCTCCTTGAGTTAGCATTCGATACTATTTAATTAAAAATAATCCTGCGAGACCACTCATTGATTTTTCCTTCGTTAACTGGCGCTATCGCGCGCATTGCGCTCACTCGTTTTTTGCTCGAATTTTGAGAAAACGCGCGTTATATCGCGGAACACCGCGAAACTTTCCACGAGAAAATACCACTGGCATCGCATGACGAGAACGAATGTCGCGTACATTGTGCACGGTCAGAGGATGAATAATATTATATGGATGTGGAGTAAACAATGCAGCAACGGGGTCGCTTTTTAAGCGAGGAGAGTCATTGTCGAGTGGATCCGACACTCTCGGATAAGAGCATTCGTGTGTCACCCACTTGGCATAATTGCTGCAGCCACGTTTAAGCATTAATCATAATTTACTTACACTTAATTATAAATCATCTCGGAGAACGACATAATGCGTGTTACTAGTACATCAAGAGTATAAGTGAGGAAACAACTGTGTGTTTCAATAGATAAAAAGATTATTTATATTTTATTCTACGTTACATAAAAAAGAAAATTCTTTAGATATTTTCGATATTTTTATCGGATTATAAATAAAGACAAATAGATGCATGTCAGTGTTAAAAATATCAGTTAAAATTATCACACTTTCAAATATTTTATTCACTTGAAACAAACTATAAAAAAGGGAAAAAAGTTTCTCACAAAAAGAAATATAATCTTATTTACATTAAATTATTGCTATTTTAACAACGATAATAAAAAAATAATAGTCTTGTATCCCGCTAATGTATATTCGTCAAACGGATCTCAATCATTTAATCGAACAGAACAAGTTCGATGGAATACAATTTATAAGATTATAAAATGCGTATAAAAATAATTAATTAATAATGTTTATAGTGACTTAGTGTCAATATGGAAATAATTTAAACAGGATTATTCACTGATATGCTACTCTTCTCCAGAAACTTAATCTTATAATTACACAATACGTGTACGTAAAAAATTGATCAACGAGTGATGTTTTAAAAGCATAATGATTTAATGATATGGCGAAATTCTTCAAGTTTATAACGGCATCGTACGTGATCACACATTGCGTTCTCCTCTCATCGTCGTCGATATTTATCGCACTTTTTATGAACAGTTCCTATGTTGATTATATTTTTCATAAAATTGCTCCAAACATGATATCAAACAATTCAGATACATATTAATCTGTTTCTGCGCATTATTTTTTCTCGCAAATTAAAACTTTAGCTTCATAAATATTGCAATAATTTTTAATTATATGAAAACATTAAATGCACACAGAGTATACTTTTTTATGCAGATTATATTAATAGCGTCTATCAAATATCAAAGGTAAAAAGAAAATTGCTATTATCAATTGAAATTTCTCAGTATTTACGCGTGTTCTTTCTAACAACATATATTTTGCATTAATTATTTTGTGACTAATAACGAGTTATTATTATTTTCTTTATCAATTTCAAGTCGATCAAACATTATCTCTTGCACGAAAAAAAAAAGAACAATTTTGTTGAAATATCTAAAAATTAGAGCAAATATAAATTTGAAAATAACTAACGACGAGATATGTGAAATTCTTGAAGGAGCTAAATTATATTAGCCAGAACTCTCGAGAAAATGTTCTAGATTTTCGAAAAAAGAAAACTTAATTTTCTCGTGTGTATGTACTCGCATTCACATGATTCCGAAAATGGGTTGCTAATTTCACAGAAGTGAACAAGTGGGTAATTAATGAAAAGCGAAACATGTCTTAAAGTTTCTAGTGCCTAATACAACCGTGAGTGAAAAACTTAAACGGCAGTTTCGCGCTTTCCTGGTATAATTCGCAGCTTATCAGACACGCACGGTTGCGTAACTTATCAACGATGGAATATTCTGCAACGCGTTTCTTTATCATTTTCCAGCATCACGATTGAATCTAAACGTGACTGAATAAATAAAGTTAATCTAAATAAAGTTAAGCGTGCCGTTTCCAATGTCACGCAAATCAAACGATCGCAGAAAAAAAAAGAAACAAGAATATTTGCGTCTCGTGTTCGTAAAATTAATTTCGCATAATTATAAAGATGTCTTCGCAGAAATACAACGATTTTCTTTAGAGAGTTAAGTTTCTGCAATGAAGACTGAAGATTAATGATTTTCATATCAATCTTTTGCTCCATCAAGTATTTCCTAATCATAAATATTTTCTTTCATCTATCATAATCAAGAAAATTTATAGTTTTATAAATTTTCTGAAATATGTTTGTCATGTTTCTTAAACTTATGTAAGTTGGCCATTATTAATTACAATTTTTAATCAGATGATAATTAGAGAAAAAAAATTATATTCTGTTTATTTTCTAGATTTCTCATTAGTTAAAAATAATCGGAACATCGGATTTAAAGAAATGAATAGGAAAAACAGAAAAATATTTCAGAATTGTTGCTTTATGATTAAATCTTGCACAAATTCTCAAAAAAGATTCAATGACTGTAACGTCTGTAGTATATTATATTATAAACGTATATACAAAATACGTCATAAAAAGTTCAGACTATACTAGTATATTTGAATGAACAATACCTTGTACAAAGGAAGGATAATCATTTCTTGCGGCACTGTTTTCTTTTCTTTCACGAGTTGCACCTTTTCTCTATACACTACTAACAGAACTAAAAATGCGCGAACGACAAAAGAGACTTCGAGACAGCATTCATCTGGGAGACAACGCGAAGGTCGACGAGAACAAGTTCGAGGCAAAACTGGAAACGGCCACACGAATTCGATAAAGATCCGGTAGCGACGTATACTTTCTTTTAATTTTTTATTTCTTAAATCAGACAGAGTTACGCCGATAACTCTCAAAAGCTAAATCATAAGAACTGAATTTATTTGCACACTCGTGTGTTGACATAGAAACGACATTTCGAAATAATTGGATGTTCGTTACGAGACTATCGTGTCCTTCATGATACCGGATTTTACACCTAAATCAATTTAATTTTTAAAATCAAATTTTCAATGTCTCGATAAGAAATACAATTAAATAAAGTATCAAGATTTAAATGATATTATTTTAAAAACGCTATATTGTAATAATAGTAATACAAGCATTATAACAAGTTATGTATTTAAAGAAAATTAGCGATAGAAATATATTTTTTTATCAGATGCAAAAAATTTGTACATTTTATATTATTAATATAAATAACAACAAATTACCATGTGTCTTATCATTACATCAATATTCGCTTGTCGCGAGTCAACATTACAACGTTAATCAGTGCACTCTGATAACGCCACGGTCGCTTTATAATAACAGGAGAAACAATTTTTAAAGAATAATGAAATTAATCTTGGACGATATGTGTTATTAAGAGGAAATACAGAGGATTACACACATATACGCGTACACACGTCACATCGATGTGGCTAAGTTATTCTCGAGTTGAAACTTCGCATTTTGCTTTTAGACCCCTCATGTATGTATCAGTTCGCATTGATCAAAAATACAAACACGTCGGTTAAACCTGTCGTGATAAAGAGTCGAGGCTATTTATAATCTGTGCTCACGCCACTATTTGGCGTTAAATAAAATTGCTGTCTTCATACTTGCCACGTATCTCTTCTATTTTAAGAAAAGATACGAGCGATAATTAATCATTTAAAATAAAAATATAGTTCTGAAGAAAAAAAAAAATGTTAAAGAAAATGTTAAAAACTATCAAGAACTTTCCGAAAATTTTTAAATATCTTCTCGTTGTGTTACTTCCTTTATTAAACGTTTATACCAATAATGTCTATATATATATATATATTTTTTAAAAAATGAATATCCGGTTTATATTCATTAAGATTTTTAACCAGTCATCTCGCTTCTCGATTGCTATAGCCGGCCGATTCCGGTTGCGGCTTAAATATCCAATCGCCGATATAGGTCGCAAGTGTAATCTGCGCACGCAACGTATACGTCTCGGATAACAATATCCCGCATACCGGATACCCCGGGGGACAGTCACGAATTAATTAATCGCCAAATAGGCGTTAGCGCGAACCGTAATAATGGCGCTCTGCCGGCGACGATTAAGGCCGACCCAGTACACAGCGAAGACATGCAGAGAAAGTCCGGCAGGTCCCATGCCGTGTACGCCTATGTCCGGTCATTGCACCACATAATTCCTTCTACTTTTTTACCTCGCGCTACGACGACCGCTACGAATGTCAGAACGGAATTTCATCGGGACGCTTCCCGCTTGCTATCGCGCTATCGTGTTACGCGTGTTCGTGTTTCGGACATTTGATTTCTCCCCCGTTCTCCCCCGTTCTCCGCTCGAAGCGAGTCGAAAGACTCGGAAGGTCTCGTTTTGCGTGAAACGGAATAAAACGGTAAGTAAGGCACGTGTCAAGGGAAGTCACGTGCCGCCATGCGTTGACATAAGAGTCGCGTTTCCAGAAATCGCACTTTTTTATCGATGCAAATTTTTCAGCGAAATCATTCGCAATCAGCAAGAAGCTGGAAGGACGGATTTATGCGATCGTGTCCTCTCAAGTTTCGAAATGAATAATCAAATAGCTCGAATAACCAACAGCCTAAATTTCTATTGAATCGCATTTCTTCTTAAAGAGACCGTAAACAAAATTATAAATAAAGCATTTCTCTGCTGAATCAAGATTTTCTAAGTCAAATAACAAAAAGAAACAAATAACAAAATTGTACCTACCTCTCAATCAATTTCAAGCGACAGAAATATTTCTTTTATCTTTTAGATAAGATTTTTTTTAGTTATTATTAAAAGAAATTTAACTAGCATTTAATTAGCATTTAACTGGCTTTCATGCTCGTCATTTGTAATTTCAGTTCAAATTAATAAAAAAATTCGCAATTGACTTCAATTTATGCTTTGAAAAAAATGTCTGGCTAAAAGGAGACCTCGCGAGAAGCTGATTTAACACTGAAATGACAGGAAGAGTGAGATTCACGAATAATGAATTCCAATACAGAATTAATAGTGATTTTTCTTGCTTGTTGATGCATTAGACGTAAGAAGCATTGCGCGCTTCCGGTTGATCATTTACGCGTCAAGGTTACACGGCTGAGAGTGTGACGCGCCTGTATCTAACGTTCTTAATTGCTGCTTATCTAGACCTTATGAGATCTAATCATCAATGATACATCGATGATATATCAGGATAAATACTGACTCAATTTTTTTCATTGACGATCTTATCGAAACGACGGCGAAACGTTGGCGAGTCTGTCGAGTTAGTTACTGATAAAATATCGATATCTTACCTTCGTGAATAATACGACTCGCAATTTGCATAGATATTCACGAACAAGTAAACTTTAGACTAAATTCGACGATCTGACTCTCGGAGCGATTATTTCAATGATAGACCCGGAAAATTTATAACTCAATCAATTATTGTGCAACCTTGTTACGATAAATGAAGAAAGGGTTTGTTCATGGACATATTATTTATCATAAAATAAATAATATATAAATAATATATTTATCATAAAATAAAAAAATCAACTCAGTTTAACATATGTAACTGCTTGAGGAATCATGTTTACATATATACACGTTTGTAGTTTGATTGATTAATGTGCAATAATTGCCTTTAGCAATAATGCAACATGCACGCGAATTGATTATTTTAAATGTATATACTTATCCTCTCTATCAATTTAATAATTAATTCGAGCGTATATATCTAAACTCGTTTCTAATATATACACAACAAAGATTAATGCTTTGAATTGCAATTTTCATAATTTTGCATATCAAACTAATAAGATTTTTTTATAAAAAAAATTTTTTTTTAATTAATATGCTGTCTAAATAACAATTTTTCTAGAAAAACTTATGTGATTTCGTTGTAAAGCCACTAATTCAATATTTAAAAATAGTAATAAAAAATATTAATTTTAATTTAAAAGATCAATTTCGAAAATATCGGAATATAAATTTTCGGAATACACCCAATAAAAGATTAACATATTTTTTTCTTCTCTTTTTTACCTGTAAAATTATTATCTTTATAGCATATATTTTGATAGATTCAAATTATTACTCGAATTCCACTTATTCTTGGCCCATCCAGTCAAGCTAATTTTAATTTAAAAAATCAATTTTGAAAATATAAGATAATGTAAACTTTAAAATACATTCAGTAAAAAAATAACATATATTTCTCTTTTTTTTATTTGTGAAATTATCACATTTATATATACGATACTTTGGCAGTATTATTATTCGAATTCCACTCACCCTTGGCCCATCCGGTTAAAACGTTTCCGAGATATGCGACCTTGTAAGAGGGATCGTACTCGGTTATCGATGCGTTGCCTCGGTGCCTCCTCCAGAGCCGGCCCAATCCTCTCTTCAGGGATCTCAACGTCCTCTGGCCAAACTCCTTGCTCGCGCCAGATGGTTGCACCGTGCCGTCATTCTCGTCGATGGGATCCGCGACGACATCACCCATCGTCTTCATATTCGCGCTGGTCCTACTCGCGGGGAACTTCTTGTTGATTTTTCACACTCGTTCGAATTCACGTAGAAAAATCCGCACCTCTTGCTCGAGGTCACTGCGCTACATCGTGCCGTCACTTCGTTACATTTAGCGTTTTCGTTTGGAGGAACGAGGTAGAAATCGTTAATCGGAGATCGACTTCTTCCTACTACGGTCGAATAAAGGAGAGCTGTGTCCCGAGATCGCGGTCGGCGTTGGCGATCGAGGGAGATTGCGAAACTCGAATAAATCGTCGGCGCTAAGCGGCCGCTACGTAAGCGACTGTCGATCGCTCAGGAGCTGTCATTCGCAGCCTCCAAGGCCGTTTCTCTTCTCGATCGTTATTTGCACGCGCGCGGAAAGATCGCGGCTTCGTTCTCTCGTGCGACCCCGCGTGTCATCTCCTTTTCTTCCGCCACTGCGCGTTCCTCCTGCCCGCCGGCCAGGTTCACGATACGTCTCTGAAACAAAATGATCGTTGACGTCGATTTTCAAGCAGCCAACCGACTTTTTATATAAAAAAAAAAAAAGGAAAAAAAAAAGGAAAAAAAAGAAAAGAAAAAAAAAAGAAAAACGAAAATGCTTCGATTTACATCGATAAAACGCGACGATAATATTTTTTTGGATACAGCGGATTCGATCGAAACACGCAAAATAAATTATAAAAAGAATACAAGTTTATTAGACCGGCTCCAATTCGCACTGGTTCAAAGACGAAGGATTTTTTTTTAATACAATATCGGATGTTGACAAGAAGTTCGATTTTCGAGAAAGTTTTTGAGTGATTATTATTCAAACAGATATTAGAAACTTTCTCTGATTCTCTCGCGTTTCTCTCAACGTTTCCCAACGATTAGAAAAGAAAAACAAAGAGACAGAAAGATAAACGTTAACGTGTAACGTAAATACATTAGTATATGTCGATGCAAAAATAATTAAAATAATCAAAACTTAATTACTCTTTTGTAAATAAACCAACGTATTAGAAATTGATGTTAAAATCATCATAGTTTATGACCTTTCACGATTTTCTTTTAGCATTTCTAGAATCTCAAGGAAACAGCAAGAAAGCTGCGATCAAAGTAGAAAGTAATAGAAATACACAGATGAGAGAAAGTAAAGAATTGATAACAAATACACCATCTCAAATATCGCACGGAGACTTTCATCATCCTCGTAAAAATAAGATATTACAGATGCTGGATAGCTTGTCTCTCTTCCATAGAACTCCGGGAAGAACTTGAAATTATTAGCTAATTATCAATAAGATGTTGCTTTGATCGATATTAAATCAGTTTTTTCCTCCGACCTGCCTCGTGCAACGTTCAAGCACGTCATCAACGACATCAACAAGAACGAGACCCGGTCTTTCGATATTATCTTGGATACTGCGTCGACATGAAAAATTAATTTTTGCAAAACTTAACGAGCTCGTGTATATAACGTGCATCGATAAGAATTTAAATGAGAATGAGAGATTGGACGAACTCACTGCGGTTTGGTGGATTTTTAGTACAAGGCTGTTGTTGTACAATACGCTCGTTTTAAGACTGCGCTGTACGAGTGAGCGTAAGTATGCGTTCGCCCAGTCAATTTATCTCACCGGAAATTACGATTTTCACCGGAAATCTTGTGGTCGGACTGCCACGAGGTTTCTCAATCTTCACCAAAATCCATGTTTAATGGATCCTCGTGCGCGTTGCAGTGAATACCCATGTTCAATTACCATTAACAATAGTTACATTCAAAATTAAAATATATTCTCGTATGCATAATAATAATTATATACGGAAAATAATATTCCACTGAATTCTCGTAAATTAAATATTAATTTGATTATTAGAATTAATATTAAAAAGATCTCTATTATAAATTTCAGAGTTTATTGCAGAGAATCATTTCGCGCACTGCTGGAGCGTAGCGGTTAGTTGTCTCAACAGTTGCGAAAGAATCCGGGAAAAACATTTCCGGATTCGCATGAAACATTTTTCGTTTCTTGTGATGCGTTTCTCTAGTCCTAAAACTTAGTCCATCATTACTCACTAAATATCTTGTATTATCGCTGCCGCTGCTATGTTGTTTACGAATATTTCTCATAATTGAAACATGTACGGCCAGCGTGGATAATCGTCTTTGTACAATCGACATAGTTATACAGCAGCAGCAGGTGGACTTTTGTTGCTTAGACCTGCGACTTGCTGCATTTCTTTGCATTGCAAAATAATATGGAAGATGAAAATTACGACAGTACTTTCGTAACTTGACTGGCGTAGAAAGCTCTCTCTTGGTTATGTATAAAATAAATGATTGCAAACATAAGAATTATGTTAAAAGAATCCCATTTAAAAAAACTATTATTACAAAACAACTATTATTACAAAAATTATTCGTTGAATCTTCATAGGATTATCTCTCAAATTTATTATATATATCAAGGTGTACGAATTCTTGAAATACATTCTACTAATATCGGTTGCTTACGCAATCAGAAATGCGAAGTAAATAAGCAACCGCATCGCATTCGTCTTGTCTGTCGGCAATTTAGTGGTGTTATCACTAACCTTGAATTTTAGCGAGAAAATTAATGGCTTATGCGCATTAAGCCTGACAATAGGCCACATGATTATTTTTCTTCCCAGGGCACACAACAATTAGGAGATACGAATCCTTAAATACACTTCCGCGAAACAATTTGAGATATTTTCAGATTATGATGTACAGAGATAAATACTACAAATGATTTTTTTCTTTCACGTTAAGCACATGGATATATGCGCATGGATATTATCACGCCGCAGGTATTTGATAAGAATGAAAATTATCCATATCTTGAAAATGCACACAAACTTAATATACAAAGAAGCAACATGATTAACTCTCTATAACAATAAAAAAAATGTATTTGAATTGACTCAAACTTTATTTAACGTACTTATGATTGCATAAGTTACATCACAGATATAATAATATAAATGTAGATATAATTTGAATCATTGACAACAAAAAAGAATAAAGAAACGATAACTTATACGTGCATAACTTTATATTTAAAATATGAATGAACGAAACATGTTTTTAAAGTAGAATTATTGCCTTTTAAAATATAGCTTTAAAATCCGGCAGTTTGCGGTGCAGAGAAAGAAATATGTGTTTCGGTTACCGCGTTTTTATGATGAAAAGGTTTTTAGGATTGGCAATTTCGCAAAAATCCACAAGATAAATATATATTCGCGCATAGCATAACTCTTGAGGTTTCCAAGCCCAGGCTTAAAAATAGCCCGCGGATTTGCATCTGCGTTAAGATGCGAACGAGCACGACGGGTATGCCCGGCGGAGAACAAGTGATTTACTGAAAATAAATCGCTAGGGATTTATTGGTCGTCTGTCGTTGTCGTCGCGGTAACTGAAAACATTTATGTGCTTATGATGCGAAGCAGACGGCGCGTAAAACCATCCGTCCAATTCACATTACTCGGAGTCATCATTGTCACCGTGCGCATCAAGCTGCGTTACGTCAGAACTGGCATTGATCGCCACACCTGCGGTGTGTTTTGCGTGAATGAAATTGCGTATGTCCAGGCGTGCACGATTCTATAATCTGTTGAGTAAAAAGCGACGAGACACCAATAATTGTTGACCGGTCTTGCTTCCTCGCGCGATCCTTGGCTTGTCCGCGAACGAAAACGTTTATAATTAACCCGGACGATATTCTAACCCCAATGTCCCTGTGCATTAATTCACAGCAACGCAAGCAACTTGGGATCGTTTTGGTCAAGGTGCGTTACAAATGTTACAAAATGCGATGTTACACATGAAAGCCATAATGAGTTCAAATTGAAATATTATAGTTTTATATTATATATTTCACCATCGCCGTGTTTATCTTATAACTACCGCTTTGTCAAATTTATTTCTTCTCTAATTTTTTTTATTATTGTAAAAAGAAAAGGCAAGTATTTATATATTACGATTAATCCAGTCATACGTACGTATTATACATAGCTCTATCATTTTTAAGAAGATAAAATATTCAACAATTTTTATATTATTAATAATTTTAATTACCAATTTTACTAGCTCAATTATTTTGCTAATTATTAATAATTAAAATTGTTCATAATATAATAATGAATAAAAAGAGAAACTTCTTTGTTCAATTTGATTTATAGAATTTCTAGGATCGGTATATATATATGGATTTGTGATAAAATCGAATTGACTAATCTTCTGCTTTATGTAACTAACAAGAAACTTGTTATTTCTTCTCGGAACATTAACGGGAATAAAGTAAGGAAAAAATTAATCAGTGCAGTTAAACATGTTCAAACCCAATCATACGTTCGCGAGCTTATTGCTTATTCAAATAAAATTTGCCGACTCAATACACGCGTGTAGTAGATTAGTCGGACTGCGATGAAAATGACAGATTCGTCAGATGCTTGATCGCAGAACTGCTAAATCGCGGAAAAAGGAATCTGTTTGACAAACACATGGTACGATTATCACGAGTGATTATGCGTGATTATCATACGTTCATATGTCACGCGGCTTTAACTATACTCAATCATAAAGCCGCCGATATACGATAAAAAGGTCTTCTGGGATAATTTAGAAATTTATGTATTTAACACGGAATATATAAGACGTTCGAAATTTATCGCGCGACATTTTTGGATTTTTTACAAAGTATGCTCTATGTAGCACGAGCTTAATTAGAGTCTACAATTTGTTGCAATACCGTAATTATCAATATTAAGTATCTTGGTACTGCAGCATAAATATAAGTTTATAAAATTGATTGACATCATGTGTTGTACGTATAAGGAGGAGGAAAAAAAAGCGAATAATCGTGTTAAGATTACTAGGAGGAAATATAATTACAAATTATCAATATGTAAGGAGAAACTAATGATTAAACATCTTATTAACATGCGGATGATTCATTTTTTTCTCGTTTCCTTAACATCGTCGTTATTGATAAAGTTTCCTCCTAAGATCGTACAGAGTTTATAGATCGAGTATCTATAGATTCATACTAGCCTCAAATTTTTCAATAAATTTTCAGAAGTGTGATTTGCGCATAAATCCTCGAAATCGTAAAATCTTGTCGAAACGTAATCTTGATAATTTTTTATGAAAAGTTTCAAAACGGATTCGCAAATTCAGGTGACCTCGAACGTGCATGGAATCCAGGAACATACTTGATACTTGACATTGTGAGAAATATGTCAGAAAGACAATGTTGGCAGAAAGCCATTATGGAAGAATTATGCTATTATAATGAACTAGGTGACAAATGAGATGAAATTATTCGTGAGGCAAAATAAAAACCTAATTTATTATTCTTAAATTTAGCCTTTTTAGAAACACTGGTATTACGTTGACATATTTATATGGAAAATATGAAAAAATTAAATCAATTTCACAATTCCTCTTTATTAATATAATTTCTTTTTCTTCT